TGAAATATATATATACATATACAATGTGTACATATATTATAAATATGCATGCAAAATGTAGACATCACATACAATGTGCACATGTGTTATAAACATGCATGAAACGTACACACATGTGTGACACACATGGCATAAACCCACACGAAACATGTATATTGCATGTAACATATATGGTGTAAATATGTATGAAATATATTGCATACACATCATGCAATGTGTACATGTGTTATAAATATGTGTGTGGAAAATATATATTATATATAACATGCATGTGTTATGAATGTGTGAAATATATACATTAGTATAACATACACCTGTGTTATAAATATGTGTGTAGAAATATATACATTATATATGACACACATGTATTATAAATGTGTGTGAAATGTGTACATTATATAAAACATACATGTGTTATAAATGTGTGTAGAAATAGATTATATATAACGTACACATGTGTTCTAAATCTGTGAAATATATAACATACACATATGTTATAAATATGTGTGTAGAAATAGATACATTATATATAACATACATATGTGTTGTAAATCTGTGAAATATAACATACACACGTGTTACAAATATGTGTAGAAATAGATACATTATATATAACATTATATATATTATATATAATACATTAGGTGTATGTTTATATGTATGTACATGTGTATATGTGTACGTATATTACCCCCCTCCTTCAGTTCTTTGTAATGTTACTCCTGTTTAATGGATGACAAAGCTGAAGCTGAGAGAGGTGAGGTGATTGGCCCAAGGTCACTCAGCTACTAAATTTCAGAAGCAGCACTAGCTCGTTAACAAGAACAAGGATTTTCTGATTACCAGTCCAATATTTCTTTGCACTATACAGCTGCTACTACGGTTGTTGAAGCATGAACCCTGGGAGAGCTTTAAAAAGAAAAAAAAATTTAGGTTTGTTTTAGTCCTGCCTGGGAAGGAGAAGAGCTGGAAGTTGGTTGCCTTGGGTTCTATGCTGGTTCAGCCCTTCAGTAGCTGTGTGAAGCCAGGCAGCTCTGTGACCTCAAACAAAAGATTGGACTAGATGGCTCTTTCCAGCTCTAAATCTAGAATCCTTCCAGCTTTAATACTCTGTGAAGCAAGAGGCTTTCTAGAATGCCTTTTTAGTTCTGGAGACATTGTGGTATTGTGGAAGACACACTAGAATTGGAGCTAGGTGAGCCAGGTTCAAATCCTGGGGCCATTAATTGATAGCTGTGTGACCTTGGGAAAGTCACTCTGAGCCTTATCCTGATGGGTAGGAAAGTGCCACATTTCAAGTTGTCCTTTAGGAAGATGACTGGCCAGGGAGTGTGGTTGAGGAGAGACTTTCATTCTCTATCTTAGGGCTGGCACGTAATAGGTGCTTGATAAGTGTTTATTGACCGACTGACCTACCTCTCAGGGTTAGGAGGAAAACACTTTGTAAACCCTGGGCAGAGCACTACATGAATTTGAGCAGAGTGGCAATGATAGCAACAATAATTCTCTGTTCTGTGGGTTCTTCCCCAAAGAGGAGGTAAGTTGTCCTTGGCCCGGTACCTGAAGTTGTCATAAAGGTTGTTGTTGTTTGTCTTTTGTTTTTGAAGAAGACCAATGACATCATACCCTCTGGAAGGTACTAATTTAGTAGAACTCTAATTTTTTTTTAGATGTGGTTCCAGCCAATGATCTTATTTGTGACTACAAACAGTCACACCTCTGCACTCTTAAACAATCTCCCACACACCGTGCTAACTGGTGTTTCCAGTCCACACCCCACTGGCTGCCAACCCAATCTGGAAGAATCTGGGTCTTACCTAATAGGAAGGGTCTCCAAGCTTGATGCTCTCACCCTCTGGATACATATGATAGAGTGAAAGTTCCCTGGGAGTATTCTTCCCTATATTGGAAGCTGGAGGAGACAAATGGAGGCATGGTCCTTGCCCTCAAGGAACTTCCATTTGAAGATACAAACAGAGAGGAAAGAATCAGACCCAGGTATCCTACCTCCAAGCAGTGCCCTTTTCTCTATCATAGTGACCTCCATTGAAATCCTTTGGTCTGGTGCTGTTCAGCCTTCCACTTTTGATGCCTCTGAGGCAGTTTGGTGTGACCCCGTTAAGAGCTTAGGAAGGGCCCTGATTCTCTCTGACCTTGGAGGTAGGGTGGAGGGGTCAGTTATGTGGAGATCCCAGGGCCAGGAATGAGAGCAGATTCTTTGCTCAT